TACTAAATACCGAGCGGCGAGAGCTCACATACTCGGTCACCGTGTCTTCATCTTCCTTTATGTAATTTCCTGTTGCCGCTATACGCATTTTTATTTCATTTAATAATGCCATATATTTGTTTTCTCGCTCGTACACGCTCGTACACTTCTTATGTACTTTATACAATTATGTACTTTTACGTGTTTTTACTTTCTGTTTTTCTTTCCTTTTTTATGTACCCTTTTCCGCTTGTTCCCTCTACATATATTCTCCGCCTTTTGCGTTCTCGCATTTTTTTTTTTTAATATGGTTTCTAAATGGCTTTAAATTATTTCATGTATCTAACTGGCTCCTTCACGCGCTCACATACGTAATTTATGTTCCTAGCTCTTACATGAATGTGTATATATACATATGCACGTTCCCAGAATAAAATAAGCTGCTACCTCCAAATTCTGTAATTGAGTTCGCAGAACGCGCGTTTCCTTTACGTTTCCGCGACCGCTCGCACTTATCCGGATAAACTTGTATTTATCCCGTTTACACACCGGTTCACCAGCGAAAAGTCTATCCGGTCTGGTCTCTCTCTCTCTCTCTTTCTCTCTCTCTCATGGCTGCAGATGCAACAAGTGGTCGGCCGTGCTCTTCCGCTTTTCTTTCCGCGAGTTTCGTCGATATTCTGACACGTTGGCACTTTCTCCGGCGCGGCGATTGGAAATAGAAGCCAACCCCCTTTCGCCGTCCTCCTCTAGTCTCCACGCGGCCGTTGCTTCGTCGGCCGGTCGGCGTGCAAAATTGCAAAAGGAACACGCGAGGGTAAACGAACATCACGGCGCGTCACGTGCCCGACGAGAAAATATATTTCGCGAGAAGCCGCGCCGTCGCGCCGCGGCTTACGAGCGCAAGAATCCTATTCCACCCGGTGCGTTTTGTGCTATTTCGAGAAATATCGTTAAGGAAACGCGGCTAATTACCGCGCTTGCTGGCGCATAACATATAATTTGTACGAGGGAAAAGGTGTCTTTAAAAGGCAAATGATGTTTAACGATATAACAGTTTTGAACTACAGCTCGTATCTAATTTCTCTCTCTCTTTCTCTCTCTCTCTCTTATCGCTGAGAATGTAATATTCAATATTCCCCGCAATTTCAATTTTGCAACGTGCCTGCGCGCACGTATATCCCCGGATTAATAAATAATTCAGCCTCGTAAATATCGATACCGCGGTTACTTATACTCGTGTACCCGATTATCGCGTCGAGGAATCAATTGTAATCGTGTGTTGTTGTGCCTGGACAAAAATACAGTAGAAAGCTTAAATTCATCGGCGCGTTCTACAAGTCCGATATTCCTCCGATAACGTAAAAGCTCTTCTGGGGCCTGTTATTCGCCGGGGGGATGGGAGGGAGAGGAGGGAGAGCAAAAAGGGGTTATCGCATCCCGCGATACATTGTGAAATTCGCGACTGTCGATACTTTTATCCGCGTTATTCGCGGAGGAACTGAAATCGCGCCTGTTATCTCCGACGATATTGCGCACTCTCGCGATACGGCAGTATCGATTTCCCGTTTGTAAACGTGCGTCGTGTCGCGTCGTGTCGGGTCGCGTCGCGGCACGCTCCCATGCGTGTCATTACCGAATGTGGAAACGGCAAAAATACGATGGCGATCAGCCGCGCGAGCGCGAGCACGCCAATACCGGCAATTTCACCGTCAATTTCATCGTCGGCGCAATCATCCGCGCGCCGTTTCTCTAATGACACCACGGCCGCCGCGGGTCGACGTCCAACGTCGCGCCCCGTGCGAAAATCGAATCACGCGTGTGCACTCGTCGTCGTGACACTCCCCCCCCCCGCGGGCCGCTTTCATTAAAGTCTTTCTATAATTAACGACTCGCTCGAAGAAAGCGGCTTTCTTGTCTTACCACTCGCAATACGCGCGCGATAACACGATACACGAGCGAGGCGAGCAAAAAGATTTCCGAAGAGAGAAAGAGAGATACGCCGGGCGAAAATAACATTGTAGCTTGTACGTTGCAATATACATATCGGATCCCTCCTCTCTTTTTTTCTCGATGAGGTTAATAAAAAAATGTTATGACGGTCGATGTTATTTTGTTTTTTTCCGAAACAATGTTTTGCTCGCGGAACTTGAAATTCTTGCGATTCGATATTTCAGCGGTGTAACGCCGCGTTTTTACGGTTCGCAAGCTGCACCTGCTGTGCAGTATCGTGAGATTTTCCATTTTTTTTTGTTCTTTTTTCCTTCGATCTCGCCCCACTTTCTGGGCTATCTCCTCGGTATCATCTATTTTCGGAGATCGACCCACGTCACGCGGAATATTTTTGCAACTGGACCGCACCGTGTCGGACGTTTATTTTCAAAGATTGAGGCGAGGAATGCGTAAACGGAGACTGTGTAAACCTGCGCGCGCGGCAGCCGCCACTCATCTCTGCATCGCCGTCGCTGCCGTTAGCGGGAATTTACTTGAGCACTTACGATAGTCTTGCACTGCAATAGACTTGGCGTATCTAATCTTTGACTGAATTAATAACTTGTATACCATTGCTTAAAAAAAAAAATAGTTGAAACAAACTAAGATTTTGAAAAGTATACACAGAGCTCTATCTCTCTTTTCCCTTCTCTTCCGCCCCCCCCCCTTATTTCTCTTTCTCTTTTTCCCATTTCATGTTACGTAATGAAGCATTATTAAGATTCGTAATTGTTTCACTTCTGAGTGCTACCGACTGGTAATTGTTTCATTTCTGAGTGCCACACACCGACTGGTTTGCCTTCCAACAATGAAAAATGCAGCTAATGACGCGTTAATAACGCCGCGCCACAGAAATACATAGCGTTATCGTGGCGTGAGAATATCTCGATACTACTCGTTTCCGCGTTTTGATATGGCATGTTGCAATCAGCCCCCGCCCGATACGGTCAACAATAACTAACGCAGACTGGAACGGATGTAGTATATGAAGTTGAACGAAAATGGCTGGCCGGAGTAATTGACCTCTTTAACGTGCGCGTAAATTGCACCTTAAAAAGATACAATTCACGTAATAGACGTAATTTGATGCATAAGACATAAGATGCGTCATGCACAACTTTGTTGCGTAGACAGGCGCGAGTTTGATTATCATTATCTATACGTAGAAAACGACGTAGAAAAAAAAGGCTCGACGTAGAATTACTCGACGTAAATTCGGAGCAGGAAAGAGAGATAGCTCTCCGGCGAAGAAATTATACGCTCGCTCGTATTAGTGTACGTGGCAACTTTCCCTCCGTCGAAGAGAAAAAGGAATGAGATGCACGCTCGATTCGCAACTTTGTGCACGAAATTTAAAGTCACGCGCGTGCTCGGCATTTAGCGAAATTACCATACGTCATTATCCTTTGACATGGACCTCTCTCTTTCTCTCTCCCTCTTTCTCGCTTCTCGCCTCGACGTTCATCACGCGAGGAGAAATTTGTGCCATCAAGTTTTACTTGACAGCAAAATGGCTTTGTTATAACTCTCGATGGGCAAAAAATAAGCCAATAAGCACTGACGAGTAAAAAGTGTCGGGCGATTAAGAGCGTTGGCTTATACGCGAATGCTTATAATGATATGTACTTAATGTTGACTTTAACGGCTGCGCTGCACTGGTAGAGGAAAAAAAATTTAATTTTCTAATGATTTTTCTCGACTCGTTCCTTTCTCCATGTTTTTTATAATTTTTCCTCGGCGACCGGCGAGTGTCGCAAATCGGCATTAATTATCATTAAAGGCAGCTGAAACGCAAGTCGCGCCGTGATCGCGCAATGTTTTTCTTTACCGGGCTGCCCGCTTTCTCGTGAAACGATATAACTGTACGCCGCGGTTTGTAATTTGTATCCGGCCGTTAGCGATTCGCCGAGAGACACGCGGAGTGACTAATGGAGTACATCCAATTTGGGATACCCGTTCGAATATCCCGAACGACGGATAAGCGAGATAACGAGGCAACTTCTGTTTGACGCATTTTTTTAATTGTGGCGATATCTTACGGCCGCGTGCGTTCGACGGAGGCAAATGTGCGGAGGGAAAGTTCAACCGCCCGCTCGTTAATTTATGCTACCTCCCCCCTCCCCTTCCCCCTCTCGGATAAACGATCGTCTTGCAATCGTCGGTGAGAGATTACGGCGCTGTTTAGACTCGCGGCGCAGCGCCGTATAACTCTTCATCTCGAGACTCAACACGTATCTATAGTAGTCTTTTTTTTTTTGCTGATATTAAGTGCGAACGACAGTTTCCCCGTAGTTTCTCGGAATGTGCCGCGCAAGAACATTTATCATGTGATTCACAGTCGGTACGTTGTTCTTTTTTTGCTATTATTGTATCGCTTATATCTACGTGTAATCTATGAAAGTTACTATACGAGAGATAACGGATATGTGGGAGAGAAGGTGGGCGGCGTTTGAATTCCTCGCTCTTTTTTATGGCATTTGAATATCTTTTAATTGCCGTAGAAAGTCGTATCTCCGATGCTCGCCGTTAGTCGCCGTTAGTCCGTCACCCATTTGCCGTCCGAAAATTGCACCTTTTATTGCGATTTAAGATCTCTGAATCGCAAACATTTGGTGTATTTTATTGCGAGCGGCGTAATGAGAGTTACGAATCGCCTTTCGACATCTATTCGTTATATCACTATATTATTACTATATTTATGCGGTTCAGTCTATTATTCGCTAAAGACACTCTCGACGTCGCGCTAGCTCGCGTGACTTTCTTCTATTTCAGAATCACATGAATCACAAGTGTTTTGCGCCTACGTGTTGTCATTAGTACTACCTCTTCGACGCAATTCCAGTGAAGGAATTTTATTTTAGAATTATCGTTATTCTACGACGTACTTGACTGCAAAGCGTTATCGAATATACATCTTATTGTTATTATTATGATGTTGAGTTTAGCAGTTGATAAAATTAAGTGCGTTGAAAATAAGCGAAGAAAATAATACACGGAATATTTATCGCAATTTTACACGTTTGTTACAGAGGGACGTCAACATAAGGAAATCACGGACACGTACGCTACGAAGTTTCCAGATTATACATTTTTGGACTCGCAATTGGAAGTCGATCAAACCGTTTTTCGAAGCCGTTCGACGTTTTGCGTGGAGATAAAGCCGAAGCAGGGATATCTGCAAGAGGCGGAGCCGGGGTTTCCTGGATGTCCGTATTGTCTCAACCAGTACGCCAAGGTATTTAACGATAGTCTTTCCTTGTAATTTTTCCATGTAATTCTACTTTTGCGAGTAACTAATGTACAACCCAAATACCATAGATGGTACACTAAAGCAAGATAACGTTTTCAGTTGCGGAGAAAGAGCATCACCGCTCGCAGCAATTATTGCCCGTTCGATCTGTTCTCCGGGACGGAGACGCGTATGAGAGCCGCCGTGGAGGAGCTTCTGAAATCACCGCAGAACAATTTGAAGATCTTCAAAGACGGCTGCGTCGTCTACGATCAGGCGTCCTCGCCGAACGATCTCGAGAACGTGCTGGACGAGTGGTTTCGAAATGCGGCGACGGAGAACGGCGGACGTGCTGGCCGCGTCAACGAGTTCTGCAATTTGGTTTGCGCCGCCCTTACGCGGCCGATCGCCCGCGAGCAGCTGGACCTGCCTGCCACCTCCCTTTCACGCAATTTTCTCGTACCCGCGAATCAAGTTTCAACGACGTTTTGTACCGTTGCGCCGGACGTGATCGCGAGAGCCGAATGGTGTCTTCGCCTCGGGGGAAAGGTAGATACTTGCTTTGAAAAATCATTCATCGAGAATAACGTCGTCGCCTGATAACTAATTTCTATCTTTTCTTTTGTCTCGCAGAGGTGCAACTTCGATGGCAGCGAGTTGCCGAAGAATTCGGTGCTGGAACGAATGTGGAACATGCAGCGATTGTCCTACGTGAATATCAATTACATTTACAGCCTTTACTCCAACTTCGCATCGCTACTAAATGACGATATAATATACTCTGACTTGACCAAATCGAATAAGACTTGTAATGTTTTTCACGCTCTCGATAATCCCAAGGTATGTATTTTTATATCCACAAAATATATGAAAGGAATTTTTTTTTTAAGAAGTGAACGCATTCGAGAATGCTTATCTCTCGCTCTCTGTTCCAGAATGCGGACCAGAAAATGGAGATCATGAAGGAAATAGACTTTCAAACGCTTCTTAAGAGCGCTATTGCACGAGAATGCGATGACGATTTTAATGGAAATTGCAATGCCAGTTCAGAGTGTATCTTATCTACTAATACCGACAGAACGCTCGTGAACGGCGGTCTTGTATCGCAAACAGAAATTAGTTCCAACCTAGATTCGCAATCATTTTATGGAAACAAGAGTCTGCATAATCAAAGAACTAGCAACGATGATGACGAGCGAAAGGCAAATATGCAGATTACCGCCGAACATTTGTCAGCGTTGCAAAATTACCTTTTATTCGTCACGGCCAGAGATTGTTCGATATTAATGACTTTCCGCGAATTGCATCCGTAAGTGTATTGTTCGAAACAATGGCCCGTATTTTCACTGCATGTTTAAAGCGCCGAGGGTAGTATAAATCTTATGACAAAGGCAAAATTGGCGATAAAATTGATTTAATGCAATAGTTCTATGAGAGGAAACGCGCTTTCTAATTATTCTCTATAGTCATTGTCCAAACCGTATAATAGTCACCCGATGCAGCATTGCAGCAAGCAAGTATTTCATTTATCTGATTATGGCTATTTGATTGTGGATTTAATATAATTATAATCAATTCATAAAATATACAATTTATGAACGTACAACGCGAATCATTATTTACCGCGCCGTGTGTGCAACATGTGGGTGATTACTACTTTCATCATATTAAATGCTTTTCAGGCAGTTAGATGTGTTAAGTTCTAGTAATTATAATTTTTCTCTTTTTTTACAGGAAAGATGCATTAAGAATGCCTGTGGAAAATACGATAAAACTGTCAGAGCAACATTATTTTTTAAGCAACGTCAGAGTCTCGGACTTGGAACCGAAAAGCGTACACTCCATCGAAAAGCATCGACAACGAGACGTGGATATTTTTGATTCTGTGATTTCTTTACTGGACGAAGATATTCTTTTTACCAGATAGATTTATATAGATAGATAGTTATAAGAAAGAGGAAAGCGATGCTAGTAACGATATATTTGATATACGATAAAAAATCTGTTTACAATGGAGGAAGAATGCGCATTTAATTGACGATACGCTTACCGATCATGAAGTCATTTCTTATGCGAACACGTCTGTGTGGCGTTTGTAAGAATGTAAGATAGATATTGATGCTATCATTCATCAATCAGCGTGTTAAATTGAACATTTCACTTCCGTACGCATAATATATAAAAATTATGTCCATATAAATATTTGATTCAACGAACAAACATATCTTTTAGAAATCTACTTAACTTTTGCAACTTTAAAGTGTTATACAGACAGCATAGATAGAAATAGGACAAATGAATTTTTTAAAATGTTGAAATGGACATTTATTTACAAAGTATTTTATCGTGTAATGTTATTGTTCAAATTATATTTATTGGTGTATAGATTGTATTGATTTTTTATGAAGTGAGATGAGAGATTTACGTGGACGAGTGAAAAATATTACATGTAGCATTATGAATACGGTATTCGATTTAGAGTAATTGTTGAACTGTGTGTGGAGCTTGTGTCAAAAGACTGACGTTCATGCAAAAATGAAATTAGCATGTTATTTAATAATATATTGTTAAATTAGAACTTGTTTTGATGTTCCTTCCTTACTTTAAATAAAAATTGCAAAACGAAATGTTCAACAAGAGTGAAGCGCAAATTTTTAATTTATTTATATCTTATAAAAGACTTTATATCCTATAAATAATTTGCCATGATACAAAGATAGAAAGTTAATGTTGTTTTAAAATGTGAAAAAGAACACAATGTTGTTTTAAAATATAAATAATTTAAAATAATAAATATTTGAAATACAAAGAGAATTATATAAACTTTCGCTAAACGGAACTGAGAGATCAATATTTTTTAAATCTTGACAGTAATAAAATTCTTCACTTTATTTTTTGTAAGTAACTCATAAGTGAACTTTATGAGTGATAATTCTCAAATGAAAAAGAATTTTGTTTTATATTAAAAGAATAAGTGAAATTAATCAGAAAGAAAAAGAAAAAGAAAGTGTTTTGAAAATACTAAATAAACGAAGATAAGAAACAGTTGAAAAGAATATCTTTCAAAACTGCATAGTTATTCGAATGACGGATGATTTTTGTGATATTAATTTAATAAGATACAAATGTTTTATCTTGATATTAGTGATATTAGTTGTGATACTAGTTTAAATAATAAGATAAGAATTATTTATCTTATAGACGATACGTTATATGCCTTTCAGATTTTTTTTTATTGTGTAACATGTTCTGTTCTTTCTTAATAAATATCTCTATAAAAAAATGACGAGTGTGTATAATTGCTTGATACGATTGTTCATAGAAAAATTATAATTACGTACAGATTCGGCGAAGATTGTAGAGATTATGACTATTTTTAATGCACTGGCCAACAGAGCCGAGCATGTCTCAAAGGACATCCACGCCGCAATATCGCACTAACGTGATCGAATTTTCGTACGAGCAATTGTCCCGGGTACAAGGCCGCGTTGCACAGTTATGAATGACACGGTTGCAGGGTGGGGTGGATCGTGCACCAGTTGACCGAACCAGGGATGTACGAACCTGTCATCCCCCTGTAGTCTATCAATAGGATTGAACGAGTATAATTAAAAGTAACGTTCTTCGATGAATTAGAAGATTTTATCGTTTAAATCAACATAATTAATATAACGTAATAAAATTGTAGAAAGTCGTAAGTGTAAAAAAATGAATGTTTTAACGTTAAATAATAAAAAAAAGAATGCAATATAGAATACAAAAAAATTATTAGCAACTGAAAATTGTATGGTAACTGAAATTTCTCAATTGTCTCGCTTTCTTTTCTGATTTTAGAAACAAGTGGAAAAATTTTTCCCTCTACGAAGAATATGTACGGATCCTTCGATTTGTCTCAACATTCCTGAGTACGTGGCGTGCGATTGGTGCGTCCGGCGTCGACAAGTCGGTCGTACACCTCCGACTGCACTCGATCATCTTCGCCACGCCACCCCACCGCCGAAGGTGCCCCTCCCATCGGGGGCGATTCGCAGATCCGCGGCGATGGTCGTTCAGTCAACGTTCATAAATGATGACGTAAGGTTGCAGCTCGTACCGAGCTGGCGATTCGTGGTACGTGGTAACGGCCTGTCAGTGAACCTCGGACGGAGATGGGGACGCAAAAGCCCGGAGAATGGGCGAATTTAGTGCTCGCGCGTTTCGAGGATCAGGTGCGCGACTGACGATGCTCCGATGCGAGGAGCGTCGATCTTCACTTGTTCACTGTTTTCTGGTCGTTTCGTTTCGTGCTCGCCCTCTCCTTCTCCTTCCCTCTCAGCCGCGCTCTCTCTCTCTTTCTCTCTCTCACCACCCTCTTCCGGTGTACGGCCACCTCCTCATCCTCCTCCTCTTTCTTCTAATGTCACATTCACGATGCATTTATGGTATTTGCCCATTTGCTCGTCGACTCCTCGTCAACGCCTTGCATGGGCGCGTCTGGGAGACCACACCGGTACCATCGGGCCTGGTTCCCGCCGTATTCGCGGCCCCGTTCTCCGGGTATCGAATTTCGGAGTTCTCTCTCGTCACTCCGTGGCGGTGCGCGGGGCGGTAGATTTTTTCTCGGGCAAATACTACTCTAGCTTCTGGAACAGCGAGGAACTGCGTGAACGAGGATACGACTGACAGCCGGTTGCATCCACGAGTCGGTTAGCGTCGGACTCGTAATACGTACAGAATTTGAAGATTGATTTGAACTTGAGAGTCATTAGGCATGTGTATGGTACTTGGAGCGAGCTGGTTTACAGAAACGTGTACAATTCATTCTTGGCATCCGATTAGAAAAAACGGTCTCGATCTGAAAATCATTCTAACGAACTTCTGAACATGGGCAATGGCTAAATTTTTAAAATATTCTTGAAGCACCGTTATTTAGACGTGAAAAACAAAGATTACAGGGATGATTGTTTTATACGTTCAGTTACTTCAGTCACAGATTTCCCGAAAGATTTTGTTTTACATTTATTCGCAAGAGCTGTGTAAATTGTATTGCGACTTTTATGAATGTGCCAAAAATTGAATTTTATAAGGAAATTGAGCAGAGATTTAATTAAAATTTTAATAATCGAACCAATGCTTCGGAATGCTGTTATAATGGATAGTGGCATGTCAAAAAAATCTTGCAGATATATAATACCTATACAGATGACATTGACATATATTTAGAATGCATTATTCTGTGTAATCAAGGTGTTATTAAAATTTATTTCAATTCATTTAATTCTTTCATTACGACACGATATCACGCTAGATTTTTTTATTATTGAACTATCGTATGATCGATCATTGAGCTAACGTTTCTCAAGAATGCGAAGATCGAACTGGACAGGTTTCGAGTAAACTTATATACGAGAGCCCTATGTTTTTTAACAAAAAAATAAATAAATAAATAAATAATCAGACGTCAATAATCGTGTCAGACGGTGGTATATACGTTTCGAGCGCGTATCGATAAAAGTGGGGGTATCACCGTGCCCGAGAATACGATGTCGTTCCTTCCCTCCTTGATTCGTTCATTCATGAAAAGATGCATTCTTGCAAAGATGGCCCCTCCTCCCCCGGCTCCCCTCGTGCGGTTTGACCTTCGCCCCCTCTGCCTTCAGTCAACCTCGCCGCGAGAGCAGCTCAATCAAGGTGTATATACAGTAACGTATCTATTAGGGGTGCGAGGTGTAAATGTCTGTAAACCCGCGCGACTCTGTGAACGTTAATTCTTCGCGCGATTCTTAATCATCCACGCGGATTAACGTGAATCGGGGAAATGCTTTCGTTTTAGTTACGTGAGATACCGTATTCTTTACACGCGGCACATAAATTCGCACTGGCAACGCGCGCTGTTCATTAAAGAAACTGACGGTATTCGATGGGCGACAAATCTCCGAGCAAATCGAATAAATCTCAAGACGAGATTCCGCGCTCGCGTTGAGCTCAATTCCCCGTAAAAAATGGCTGTAAAAAAAAAAAATAAACGTATTCTCTTACTGCTCTCGTACGTTTGATGCGAGTCGAGATGAATGGAATTGGGTATCCATGAATGAAAGTTGCATTCCCTTCACGCACAGCTCAACCGCGCTGCCGTTGCCCGATACGCCGAACAAAAGGGAATAAAACAGGAATCGATTGAGTCGCACGAGCGTATAAATTGACGTTTCCCGATGCCGAGGCAATTTATCGCCACCATTATTTCGAGGACTCGACACACGTTTCACCCTCGATGCCTCCTTCATGCGCGCCTCCTCCATCCTTTAATAATCACCGTGCCCGCGGGAAGACGAAAATGGATTCATCCGCCAATATTACCCATCTGCACACACTTTGCTTTTTATTTAATTACTTTTGTCATTATATTGTACGTTTTATTTATCTTCCTCTAAGAGATCGCGCTCCTTTGAATACAGCTGCCGTGTCGTTCCGGTCCCGAGAGTCCCCATTCTCGGGTGAACGAAAAGAGGAGCAAGAAATGCCTGATAGAGATCTCGCGGTACCGCTTCTCCCTCGTTATATCTGGCCTTACGAAGATGCTGCAGCGAGTCAACGAGCTGGCCCCGAGCACGAGCAGCCAGCGGCCGTACCAATCCAAGGAGCAAGATCGGCAGGAATCCATCATCATCGTTCTGGACACGCTGGAGAAGTGCCTGGCGAACACACCAAAGGACACAACGAAATTCGAGGAGGCGACGAACGTGAAGCTGCTGCTTCGGGAAATATGCCAGTTCATAGGTGAGCGGAACGACGACTCGGGGAAAATTGTATTTAAGATATCGTAAGACTTCGTAATTAATTCCGCTTGTGGAACCGATTCGTATACTGTCTAATCATCTGATCGTACACGAGAGTACAAGATAGAAAGTTTAGTATTTTATTGAGATAATTATTCAGATAAATTTAGATAATTGTAATTTCTCGCAGGCATGCCCTACGACAGTCCGCAGACGAAAATGATAAAGGATTTAGCGAGTAAAGTGCTGTTCGCCCTGAGCCTGAATTTCTTCAACGCGGTCTTCAATCGGATATCGGCCAGGCTGCAGGAACTGTCCAACAGCGGGGACGAGAATTCGGACTACAGCGACATCGAGCTGATGCAGTATATCAACGTCGATGTCCACAGATTGACCAGGCTCCTGAACGGTGGGTGATGACTATTAAATGCGGCGCGATATCGCCGATAGAGCGAAAATTTCTAATGCATTTTGTAATACTCACGCGCGCGTTCACTCGCTATCGCTGCAGAAATTATACTGAAAGTCCGGCAACTGATCGGCAAGAAGTCGGCGTATCTCGTGCTTATGAATCCCCTGGAGAAAGCCATCTGGAATTGGATGGACACGTATCCGCACGAATTCGCCGAGGTGCAGAGGCAGCCTAACGAGGATCTCAGTAGGGCGTGCGAGGAGTTGTTCGACATCCTCGACACGTTCGTCGTCGAGAAGAAGAGCCGCGCGGCCGCCGTCGTATGGCCGTTGCAGATGATGCTGCTCGTACTCTCGCCCAAGGTGCTGGAGATCGTGAACGCCGACTCCGGGCCGCCCGATTCGCCACGTTATTCGAAAAAGAAGCAATTCATCGACAGCGTGAAACGCAGCCTGAAGATGCACGGTAGCTCCTCCAGTCGCCAACTGTCCGAGGCCGCGGCTGTCACGTGCGTCAATCTCACCAAGGCGGCGACGTACGTCAGCACCGCCGAATCCGGCAACAACGTCGTCCTGACTCTGGTGCATCAGCTGATGGACGATCTGATGAGCCTTCTCTTCAACCCCTCGAAGCCATTCTCACGCGGGCAGAGTTACAACGCGCAGGACGTCGACCTGATGATCGATTCCTTCGTCAGCTCCTTCCGTATCAATCCACACAACAACGAAGTTTTTAAGTTTTGCCTAAACGTCAACTACCCGTCAACGTACCAGTTCGTCCTAGTCAGCTCATTATACAAGCAAGTGCCGAAAATATTTTTTTCTCGATCATCTCTAGCGATCTTGCACGAGGATCTCGCGAGTCGTCGACAAGTCTGACCGATTTTCGATGCAACATTTCAGAATCTTCACGCAACCGAGATTACCGTGGTGGCCGGAGATCAGTCTTGTATACTCGTACGGCACGGAACTCAGGAATATGTTTACCGATACTCTGAACAAGGTGACGCAGAACTGCATCTGGATTACACCGCTGCGCATGATTCACAACTTTACCAAACCTAAAGAGGACATGACCAATTCCAAAAATCTGTTGTTGGTGATGGTGCGACTCATTCACGTGGATCCTATGTTAATGTTGCACGTACGTTCTTTATAAATATAAGAGACACGAATATAAGTGCCAATAATAAGATGTCGCTAAAAAAAAGCATTTGCTAATTATATATAATTTCAAAAATATACGTGAATACACATATATACTCGAGATAAGATGCCCAAGGCCCTCATATTAATTTAACACTTTACAGAGTTACGGCACAGCTGGCCACGAAATACAAAGGTCTACTTTAGAATTGATTAACGGACTTGTTTCATTAGTCCATCAGTCCACAATGCCGGACATCGCCCACGAAGCGATGGAGGCTCTGCTAGTGCTGCATCACCCGGACAAGATCAAAGCGTGGAATCCGGAAGCGCCGCTCCACACTTTCTGGGACGCCAGTTCGCAAGTCGTCTTCTCGATCTCCCAGAAATTGATTCAACATCAAATCTTCAACTACACGACTATACTCAAGTGGCTCCGCGAGATACTGAGTTGCAGGAACGCTTTCCTTTCTCAGTATAAGGATTACGCGAATGTGGACAGCCACATTGCGATCAGTAAACAAGCGCATGTTAAACTTGAGGTACAGACTTTTAATCATTACAAATTATGGCTGATTAAAATTAATTTATGGAATTTTACGTGTCCAGGTCGTGTGCTTGATGTATTTATGGAGTATAGATATGGAGGCCGTTTTGGTAGCCATGTCCTGTTTTGCACTATTATGCGAAGAGGCTGAAATTCTTTGTGGCAGCGACGAGGTAGCGGTGACCTGTCTGCTTCCAAATTATCAATTGTATTTAGAATTGGCACAGGCTTCGACTGTATTGATCTCTGGTGAGTTTTATTTCTCTTAGAAATTTTATGATTTCTGTGAGAGCATTTCTACGAGATTTTATGAGAATACACGGAGCAGATGGAAAGAAAATGTTCTCCCGGATTCGAAGATTCACTTATCGATCTTTGAATTAATTTCTATATTTTAATTAATAAAACTTTTATTCGCCTGTAGTAGAGTATTAAAGAGTATTTTTTTAAATTATTATTATAGCCCACGGAGAGACTCGACCATGTTATCAAGAATATAATTACGGTAAGTTTTGGTCTCCAATTTTATTCATTATTTTTGTTGCTTTTTTAATAAATTGATTGACGAGATGATATAGTAGTTTGACGTTTCTTTTGATTGTAGGACGTGCCACATTACAAAAAAAGATATTATCTTTGTTGCGAAAAATAGAACATTGCGTGAATGGCATTCAACCGGTATGTATATTAATATATATTTATTTTTATATTTATATGCAATATCAAATTTATCATTATGTATAAAACAGTGTAATATCAATTATATTTAATCAATATAAATAGAGCAAACATTAAACGTGGTCTTTAAATCTATTTTAAAAATTAACAGAATTTTACATTTGTGTTTTTAGGCTTGGGAAGAAACGTTTAGAAACTGGGAAGCGACTTCGCGACAATTATCCAGTTATCCCAAAAGCAAGACTGAGGACGTACAGGTAGAGCCTGTATTTTGTCGCGGCAATGTAAAACGGAGAGCGGCGCATCAGAATTCGGAGCATGAAATGGAAGAACAAATCAATGAGTGGGCCAACATGACCGGATTTCTTTGTGCTTTGGGCGGAGTATGCCTGCAACGTCGTTCACCTAATCGATCGTATGGTGTATTCCCTTTTAATTCCGATAAAAAGTTGACGAAACAACAGGATTCTGTCACGGGTTTAAATTCCAATCAAGAAGCACAGCACTGCCCGGTGACACAATTTGTATTGAACTTACTACGATTATTAATTTGCAACAACGAGAAACTTGGCAGTCAAATACAGAAGCATGTGAAGGAGTTGGTCGCGCACGAGATGAGCCCCGCCCTGTATCCAATACTGTTCGATCAGATAAAAAATTTCGTCGAGAAGTTCTTCGATCCACGCGGGCATGTGGTGGTATCGGATTTGAACACGCAATTCATTGAACACACTATATTTATAATGAAAAACATTCTGGACTCGAAGACGGATCAACCGTCGGAATCTCTCGGGGTGACCAGCATCGAAGGCATGATGCTGGCAATCGTCAGATACGTCAGGCATTTGGACATGACGGTGCATTTTATTTGTATTAAAACCAAATTATGCCAGCTGGTTGAAGCTATGATGAAAAGACGGGACGATCTGGCGTTTAGACAAGAGTTGAAATTTCGCAACAAACTAGTTGAATATTTAACCGAGTGGGTAATGTGCACACATCCCTTTTCCTCAACGACGGCCAGCGATATCATAACTTACACCAGGTATTTTCTCTCACTTTATATATAATACATCCAACTTCCATGTGTGTTGTTGAAAATTAAAAAATCAAATCTGTCTTTAACTTTCTACAGAGATTTGGATCAAGCTTGCATGGAGGCGGTAGGAGCATTGTTACGTGGACTTCCACTTCAGCCTGAAGATTCTGATCGTGTTGAGTTGATGGAAGCAAAGTCTGAACTATTTTCGAAATATTTTATGCTCTTCATGAATTTAATAAATTACTGCAATGAACCATCATCATCGTCGGAGGACAAGGATATGTCTCGGCAGTCGCCTACTTTAACGACTAACAAGCTAACCACTTTACGCAACACTACCATTCAAGCTATGAGTAATCTTCTCAGTGCGAATATAGACAGTGGCTTGAGGCACTCGATACGTACGTAAAAAAAAATCAGTTTATTTGATTTTAACTCGGGAGTTTTTTGGAAGAATGAATTAAATCCTATAACATGTTTCTTGCTTTTTCAATTTTGTTCACTATTTTATTTCTTCCAGAAAATTCTTTAGTTACTCATAACTATCAATAACTAGTGACTCTATCACTAAATCTTTAACTCTTTTCTCACTTTAGATTTAGGCTATAACGCAGATCTCCAGACGAGAGCCGCATTTATGGAAGTATTGACTAAAATCCTTCAGCAGGGAACGGAGTTTGATACCCTCGCGGAGACTGTCCTGGCGGACAGATACGAGCAATTAGTTCAACTTGTAACGATGATCAGCGATAAAGGCGAATTGCCTATCGCCATGGCGCTGGCTAACGTAGTGACGACAAATCAAATGGATGAGTTGGCTCGTGTCTTCGTGACACTCTTTGACGCCAAGCATTTATTATCACCTCTGTTGTGGAATATGCTTTACCGAGAGGTCGAGCTAACTGACTGCATACAGACTCTCTTTCGCGGTAACACTCTGGGAAGTAAGATCATGTCCTTCTGCTTTAAAATTTATGGCACCAGCTACTTGCAAGGCTTGCTCGAGCCTCTTATCAAACCCCTACTGGACGAGCCTAAAATTAGTTTTGAAGTAGATAGCGCAAGGATTCACCCTAGCGAAAATATCGAGCAAAACGGTGACAATTTAATCGTGTTGACACAAAAAGTGTTCAATGCCATCGTATCATCGGCAGATACGTGAGTCATCGTATATATATATATATATATATATATTAATAATTCGCGAATAAAGTCAAACAAAACTCAAAGTCCAAAATTTCTTTTCAGGTTTCCTCCACAGCTGCGCTCGATGTGTCACTGCCTGTATCAAGTATTGTGCAAGAGATTTCCGCAATCTCCGCAGAGTAACATCGTGGCTGTAGGAACGGTGATATTTTTACGTTTCATTAATCCTGCCATTGTCTCGCCCCAAGAGATGGGTATCGTGAATAAACCGATACCGCTTGAAGTCAAACGAGGCCTCATGCTTATGTCAAAGATATTGCAGAACATTGCGAATCACGTGGAGTTCAGCAAGGAGCAGCATATGCTGCCTTTCAACAATTTCTTGAGAACGCACTTCGAGATCGGTCGACGGTTCATCATACAGATCGCGTCGGATTGCGAAACAGTTGATCAAACCAGTCATCCTATGTCATTCGTTTCGGACGCTAATGTCTTGGCGTTGCACAGGTTGTTGTGGAATCATCAGGAAAAAATTGGCGATTATCTTAGCAGTAGCAGAGATCACAAAGCTGTCGGGAGGAGACCCTTCGATAAAATGGCCACGTTATTAGCGTACCTTGGCCCACCCGAGCATAAGCCAGTGGATTCCCAGTGAGTTTTCAGACTATTCTCTCTTTGATTACATCGTTGGAATTATACTTAATTTAATTTAATTAATACGAATCGCGAATTAATTCTTCGTTCGAATTTCAGCTCGCTTTTCTCGACCGCTTACGTTCGCATGTCACGATGGGCGAACAAAGACATGTCATCGACTAATTTTGAAGAGATCATGATGAAGCATAATATGCGCGAGAGGGAAGAGTTCAAAAGCATCCAGAGCATGAATATTTTCTATCAAGCAGGCACCAGCAAGCAAGGCTATCCAGTGTTTTACTATATTTCACGACGATTCAAGTAGGCACAAGATAATCGTTATAAGATGTAAAATAGTGGTAAAGATATAGCGAAGCGAAATTTATCTTTTAAACTTCAATTTTCAGACTTGGCGAAACGAACGGCGACCTACTGATATATCACGTCATTCTAACTTTAAAACCCTTTTATCACTCTTCATACGACATAGTCGTCGATTTTACTCACACGTGTTCAGATAATCGGTTTAGGGCAGAATTTTTGCAAAAGTGGTTTTACGTTCTACCTGAGGCAGCCTATGAGAATCTCCACGCGGTATACATTTACAATTGTAACAACTGGGTACGCGAATACACGAAGTATCACGACAGTATCCTGGCGCCGTTGAAAGGTAATAGAAAGATTGTCTTCATCGACGGCCAGGGGAAATTGAACGACGTGATCGATGTCGAGCAACAGAAATTACCCGGAGCGACAATATCCCTGGACGAAGACTTGAAAGTCTTCACCGGCGTCTTGAAACTGTCTCACAAGGAGATGAGGGTGTCTGTGAAGATCGGACCAACGACCCTACAGATAACGCACACGGATAGATCTAAAGTGTTGTCGCAGTCGGTTCTCTTAAATGACGTCTATTATGCGTCCGAGATAGAAGAAGTTTGCCTGGTGGACGACAATTCATTCGTGCTGACCATTTCCAACGAAGCAGGCCCGCTGACTTTCGCCCACAACGATTGCGACAGCATCGTGCAGAATATAATTCACATAAGGAACCGCTGGGTGCTGTCGCAGCCGGATTCCATGTCCGTTCACTCGAAGATCAGGCCTAAGGACGTGCCCGGTACTCTACTGAACATGGCCTTACTGAACCTCGGCAGCCCGGATCCCAATCTCCGGACCGCCGCGTACAACCATCTGTGCGCGCTCACCGCGACGTTTGGATTGAAGATAGAGGGTCAACTGTTGGAAACGTCCGGTATCTGCATACCATCGAACAACACCATTTTCATCAAGCACTTGAGCGAGACTCTGGCGGCGAACGACCCGCATCTCACGCTCGAGTTTCTCAAAGAATGCATACAAGGCTTCAGGGAGTCGACCATCGAGCTGAAGCATCTATGCCTGGAATACATGACGCCGTGGCTCAGCAACCTCGTGCGATTTTACAAGCCCCACGACGAGGGCGGCAAGCGGCAGAAGCAAGTCACGGAGATCCTGGACGATCTGATCACGTTGACCGTTCAGGAGATTGAGATGTATCCGAGTATACAGGCCAAGATTTGGAGCACGATCGGCATGCTGCCGGAACTGATAGACGTTGTCCTCGACATTTTTCTCCAGCGTAGCGCGGGATACGGTTTAGGCTCGCCGATGGCCGAGATCATGGCGGATACCGCGGTCGCTCTGGCGTCCGGTAACGTGCAACTGGTCGCCAAGAAGCTGATTAACAAGGTATGCCGAATAGTGGACAAGACGTGCATGTCGCCGACGTCGCAGCTGGAGCAGCATATAATGTGGAGCGACATAGCGATCCTGGCGAGGTATCTCCTGATGTTGTCCTTTAACAACTGTCTCGACGTAGGGAAGCACTTGCCGTATATCTTTCACACGGTGACGCTGCTCTTGTGCTCCGGCAGCCTGACCATGCGAGCTTCCACTCACGGTCTGGTGATCAACAGTATTCACTCGTTATGCACATGCAGCTCGCCCTCGTTTTCCGAGGACACGCACAGGATACTGCGGATGAGCCTGGACGAGTTCTCGTTGCCGAAATTTTACCTGTTGTTCGGCATCAGCAAAGTGAAGTCGGCCGCCGGCACGGCTTTCTACAAACACCCGAAATCCAGCTGTAAACACGCGAATGAAAAGTGGTTTAGCAACGAGAGGAGTTCGTATGGTACGCAGGACAAGGAGAGACTTTACTTGACCAGTCTGGAAGTCATAACCGACGCTCTTCTGGAAATCATGGAGGCCTGCATGCGGGACATCCCGACGTGCGATTGGTTAAAGATTTGGACCTCGTTGGCGAGGAACTTCGCCTTCTGCTTAAATCCAGCTTTGCAGCCGAGGGCGCTCATCGTTTTCGGTTGTATCAGCAAAAGCATAACGGATCAAGATATGAGACAACTGCTGAAGATACTGATGAAGGCGCTCGAAAGTTTCAACGATATTAATCTTATGGAAGCTATTGTCATGTGCTTAACGCGATTGCAACCTCTCCTGAGACCCGTGAGTTTTCGTTTAAGACCCTTAGAAATCGTTCGACTTTAACATTCAATATCAAGTCTGTTTTACCGTTTTTTTTTTCTGTTAAGGAATCGCCAATACATCGGTATTTATTCTGGGTTGCCACATCCGTTCTCGAGTTAGACGAAACGTCGTTATACGCTTCCGGCCTAGCCCTCCTCGAGCAGAACCTGCATACGCTTGACTCGCAGGGCACCTTCGACGAGAAGGTTTGCAATTCTTCTTGACTAATCTCTAATATATCTCTCAATATATACAGAATAGAGACTAAATCATTCTACTACTATTCTTTTCAGACATTGGAACACGTAATGATGTCAACGCGTGAATCTTTGGAGTGTCAGTTCAAACAATTAGATCACACCGTGGGCTTGTCATTTAAGTCTAACTTTCATTTCGCGCTGGTCGGTCATCTTCTGAAAGGCTACAGGCATCCTACGCCGACTACAGTCTCCAGGACGGTCAGAGTGTTGACTATGTTGCTGGCAATCGTGGCTAAACCCTCCAAAAGGGATAAATTCGAAGTAACGCCCGAAAGTGTCCCTTACTTGGCCGGTATGTTCATTGGTTTTAAAGATCAGGAAGATCAATATTTATCGAAACTATTTTTTTTTAATCTATACGAATTTCATTTCGCAGCGTTAGTAGCTGTGTCAGAAGAGGTTCGCAGCAGATGTCACATCCGACATTCGCTTGACAAAAGCTTGCACGATTCGTCAGGCAGCTCGGACGTTCTCGATACTCTACCATCGCGCAATACGGTGACTCTTTTTCTATCTTTTTTTTTTCTATTCGTTATAATATAACGTACATATGACATAACGATATTAATGAGATCATCGAATACATTCTTACCAGGATATGCCGTCTAACCCAACGAGTAGAAGACAGAAGACCTGGGATTTACTGGATCAATCGGCACTTACTCAAGCGAAGCAACAGAAACAATCTGCACAGGTATAAATTATATAATTACGAGCGCGCGCGTATGTTCAAGAATTTCTCCTTTATGAGCTACAGCGATAATTATAGCAGCGAGTAGTTAACTTGTTCCTTTCGTTGGAAATATTGTAGGAAACACCAATTGTTGGTTGCGTCTTCGAAAAATCTAACTTTTTTTCCAATTATTATTCATGTAGAAAATATATATCGAAGCGTAGCGCCGTTCTCGCATACACAATTACTTATTTAGCAAGTTGACGAAAGGTCACTCTCGAGCATATCGAAGGGCATGAAGTTACTTTGGAAACAGCTGCACTGCATGATCCTAAAAGAAATCGAATTCGCTCGCACGAAGTAAAATTATTCAAAGCTTATACGTACAAAATATGGTCTCTCTTTCTCGTATAATAAATTATTCGTATGCGGAATTTGCGCGGTAAATTATATTGCTTCTATTACTCGCTTCGCTTCTCGTATTCTACGAATTGTTTGATAAAAATCTTTCACTTTTACCAAGGAGTATCTGTTCATCAAATTCATTTGTTACCTAAAAATTTCTGTGTGTGTGTGTCTGTATTATCTACGAAAATACTCTAAAACGTATCTATCCCTGTATCTATCTGGAATATTTTATATAATTATATCTTTTGGGTATACTACTTTATTTATTACATTCTTGGTATAAAGCTTTTCAATTGTACATTTTACCTCTGAGTTTTCTTGACGCACATGAAAAAAAAATCAGAGCCTCAGCTTTTCAAGCACGATTCGAACGAAAAATTGATTTCGCGTGATGGTTTTATCTATCGTTTTGCCGTACTCTCCATCCGCCC